TAACCCCTGAATATAGTCAAATCAGTTACACCAAATCAATATCAATGGATTTTATTTACAGGTGGTTCATTTTTAGGTCACCCAAAGGTGAAATTGTTGCAGTGATCACTAAAAAGTTTCAGCGTGAGATGCTAATGCTGTTGGGCTTTCACCACCAGCTCTCATCAGACTGTAAAAATGTAATAACTGAGCATTTCAATCAAATCCAAAAAAACGAGCTCACAGGCTGATCACACAGAGGTCTGCTGGTAGGACTGTAGGGCTGACATGAGGATTTATGTCTGACTTGTTTAGATTTGTAACTGTTAACTGGGATGTTGGCAAAAAACAGACCAGTACACAAGAGGTGTCATTTCAACAACACTGACCCAGTACAAGTTTGTCACCCCTGCTCTAAATGAACACCAATCAAAAGGGATTGGAGGCCCACACAGCTAGCTTGAACCCACATCATCCCCCAGTGTGACGCCCCTGGAGAAGGTGGGTGGATGTTCATAAAAACAGGCTACTTAAATAGCCTTGGACTAAGAGTGCGACATTACTCGTTCATCATAGCTGTTTCTGACGCAAACTCGCCCTTTCAAAGCTTCGATTAAACCGAGCCCTGTCTCAGGATGTGTCACCGCAGCCTCATGGTAACGCAACAGCAGCTTTCAAAGGGGTTTGTCGGTCACATAAAGTGCTGCTTGACGCACTGAACCTTCTCAGAATAGTCCAAAGCAGAGCTGAATACAAATGAATGAATACCCAACACACCGATGCTGCGTCTATCACACGTCAGAGGGGAGGCTGGGGATTATAGAAATAACCCCAAACTTCATAAAAGCAGAAATATCCATGCTGTAAAGGCGGCGATTAATGTGAGAAAGTATTTTTGGAAGCTGATGTGTCATAGCTTGATCCGGAGAAAAGGTCCAGAAGAAGAAAGAGATAATGTTTTCTGTGCTCTCAATCAATCTAGGAGACGAGATGGAGAGTTCATCGTCGCATGTGTGCATAAAAACGTCAACAAAGGTAATTAACTAGAGGAGGGAAGAAGCTTTCCCACAACACTACACAACACACACGCAAACATGCAATCATTTAAACTAGCAGTGAACAAGGTCGAACAAAGGGGTCTTCTATGGGAGAAATACAAAATAACTACTTCAGGCAGGGCGATAAAAAGCCTTTACAGTTTTAACTTAACTGCCTCCATGCCTGCATGGCTTTCAATATGTGCAACATAACTTCACATGCAGGATTTCTATTTGGTTTGTTGATGCAGGAAACATCAGCCAGTGCAAAAAAATATCATCGAATGCATGTCACGCCTTTATTTTGAAAATAATACAACAGGATGTGATAATCAAAGTGGCATAATGATCTGTACTGAAACATAATAACTGAAGGTGGTTATTTAGTCCCTACATAAGAATGTTTATCATTTCATTGGTATCTACTTATACAATTTTCCTTGCCTCTACATTATATTCACTGATTGAAAAATCATGTCAAAAAGGACACAAGTTTTGTTGACTTCACCAGCATTTATTTTGATTTGTGTTTTTAATCGATCTTATCGGCGGAGAATTCTCTCTCTCCCCTCTGCCCTGATTGGTGGAACCTTGAGCACTTCTATCACTTCTTATCTTTTTTTAGATACTCATCATTTTTGAGGTTTTTATCACGTTCTAGTTGGTTTAGATCTCCTTCTCTCTTATGTGTTTGTTCATTGTTACATTTGTCTTGTAATCAGCGTGTCATGATGGACGTCCATCTCAATTGGCTGCAAACAAATCTACCTACGGGTACAAATAAAGTCACCTGAACCTGAACCATCAACACACTCTGCTACAAAGAGAAGTACTGAGCACAGCATTGAACACAGTCATTAAAAGCTGAACATCAAAAATCACAAAAAGATCATCAGAGCAATCTGCACTGAAGGACACAAAGTGAGTGTGTCTGCAGTGTCAATCGAAGTCTGACTGCAGCGAGAGGAAAAGAGACATTGTACCAATTACTAGCCATTCCAGACAGCTTATAAGAAGAAGGCAGAAGCAGGAACAGCAAACTCAGAGTACAAAGGGTGATTACAGTGTGAGAGAGCAGCGGGAGCTTTCTGTAGCGCTCACCTGTCGAGCCCATCATCCAGTCTCCTCCAACTCCTGTAATCTTCCCATTCACGCTGAAAACGCTTTCTATCTGGTTCTTGTACTAGACACAGAGATTGGCAAATTTCAAGGCGTAGTCAAGTATTATAACGTATAATGGATCACACTGTATGAGATGTATTGTCACAGTTACATTTTGAACTTCATGTAAAATGCACACATTTTATAATTTCATAAAATACATTCATTTTAAATATTTGTTGTCAAAATGGAGAAACATCGATGAGGTTTTGGTCATTTAGAAGCGATGACAAACTTTACAAAGTATGCAAATATTATATGAAACAACCAGTTCCTTGAGATAGAAAATACCATGAATGAGATCTTAACTTGTTTATATTAATTTTCATTTAAAGTGGTCACGATATAGGAGGACAAACAAGTAAACTAAAAACAAACAAACAGCAAAACAAAGGCCTCTGGGTAACGATCGGGACTCATTCACCAATAATTCTGAAGTTTTTTCTGAACTTATTGAGATGTTTTCTAAGAAGACTCTCCATCAGATTCACCAACGTGTTCTGAAATGACTGAACTGATCGCAGCTGTGTTCGAATCTCCTCGTGTTCATTGGTTGAAAACGCTTGCCTGTTGTTGCTAATTAGCATAAGTGACCGCTCATCAATGCCCATAAAAGGGCATGAGTGCAGGGCCCTGCAGACACACATGCTGGTAGCAGAAAATGAGGTTGTGGAGATGCTTGACGGAGCGCCGGACTCCTAACAGAGAAGAAACTCAGTTGTGAAGTGGAGGTACTTCTGCAGGAAGTCAGCAGCAAACGAGCTGTTTGATTCAGCAGGGTGAGAAACGGTTACACAGGAACACAAATAAAAGACGCATGGGATGAAATGAACATAATTAATGTGTTATGTGTATGTTATCTATTTTAAAAGACCACTCTGATTTGTATGATCATAAAATGATGCATTAAACATCAAACAACAGTGTAATGTAAACCCTATGATATTGTACAAAAAATGTAGATCTAAATAAAAAGCAATAACTGTCATTGTGCCCGATCCAGTCAGAACTCAAATGTGCATAAGAGGGAAAAAAGGAAAAAAATAAAATGTGCATAAGCGTGCTCTTGAGTGTTCTTGACTTCTGTGCTTACCTAAGAACAAATGTTTGTTTGTAGGATTTAAGGAAAGTTTAGTTCTTCAGAACAGCAGGTGTATGAGCCTCAATAATGTTTGGCTTTAAAGTTTCATTAAAGATATATAGAAGGAGAAATAGCTCGAACAAAACAGTCGGCCTCATTCAAACTCAGCTGATGTGTAAATTTTACCTCTGCTCAAAAACCTGCTAAGTGTTGAACTGGGAATTAAAGAAGTGTTGAAGAATAACGGCAGAGTGTGACAGGTAATCTTACCTGAAGACGCCAGTGTGTTTGCGCCTCTGTGAAGCTCCCACCTGAATCATCACCTCTGGCAATGAGGCCTACAGCTCTGGCTTCTAATCACTGAAGACAGACGAGAGGTGTGAGGCTCGAAGAAAGGATAAACATCAGCTCCAGTTACACAAGCTCAAGTTAGCAGGACTGAGGAGTGAGATCATTTTTAAACACACTTAAACAGTAGAAATGCTAATCTTATTTTTAAATAGATCTTTTAATATCACACTATTATTTGTTCTATTCACAAAGGGAGAAAAAAAAACACCTGCTATTTCTTCAAACAGCTCTAGAAGGCAATACAACTTAAACACACACACACATCCCAAAATATTCTTTGTACGATAAATGAAGCCTTGAACAGATATTTCATCTGTCCACTATTTTAGTCAATAGTGTCCAATCTTTGTTTTTTTTTCCATCTAATCCAAACCCACAGAACAGCTACGCAAAGCCAGCATTCACATTTATAGGTTAACATTTTTCATTTTACCCTTCTGTAACTTTGGTGTGCTTTATTGGATGCAAAAAAAATTGCAAAACACCATCAAAGGTTTCATCTCTTTTTTTTGTCTAACTAGTTAGCCGAAATAAATTTATTTTAATTCTAAGATGTCATAAAGTTAACAGTAATTTATCGTATTTGAATATTCTACCTGGAGATAAAGGGCATTCTGATGGAATAAATGACAACTAACACATTTTCTTAAACTGGTGCAGGTTAAAAGATTTAAGGTGAAAAGAAGTCTTTCAGATTCCCGGTGTATCGCTTGTCTGTGGGTTAAGAGCAAATGTAGTTAACACTTTGAAAGAAAACACAGACTTGCAGCTGACAGCAGCTTTCTCTGTCCTGGTTTAATGTTTCTCAAAAGCAAAAACAAACATGTTGCACCTGAAAGAGAAAAACAGGAAGACAGAAACATTTAGAAGTAGGCAAAACTGGCAGGTCTTCATAAAATATTGAACGGGAGGCAGTAGGCAAAACTAGAGCTACGTATTTTGTGTTGCTAAAATGAAACTGAGTTGACAATCTGCTCTGACCTTAAAGCACACACACTTTGGATTTCCAGATGATGCAAAAGTGAAATAAATAGAAAGAGAGCAAATACACTCAAGGCGCCTGTGTGATGGTTTGACAAGAAAATGAATGTATTCTCAGGCAGACAAAACATCCCCTCCCCTTGGAGAAGGAGCGACTCCACTTATTGTAAAAAAATAAAATAAAAATGCCTTACCCACTCTGGTGCTGTCTCTATTCTGGCATCCCATGGTCTCACTGAAAGGCTGGACGCGTTGGAAACTCAACAAAAGAGAGCCTGTGACTGAATGCTGCACTCAAAGTGAGAGACACGGAGCCCATGGCAAGTTGAGCTGAAGAGACTTTTCAAACGGGGACCCAACGAATCAGCGGACAAATACAGAAATGTGCAAACATTCAAGCCAGAGTCGCATTACAATGTGTGCAAATGTTTAATCGTTTGTCTTGGCATGAAGCAGTATTACAGTACAAATAGTTTTTCATTTTTCTTTTCCAAGCGGGCGTGATAGTAATGTGAGGCGAACAAATGATGTCAGGCTCTTAATGTAAACCAGAGCGTCTGTGAGAGGCAGACTGAGGAGGTATTTACATTCTGAAGAAAGTGCAAAGTTATTTCAACACAGGAAGGAAAAAACAATTTAGATTTTTAATATTCAGGACACGTATATTCAGCCGAAGCTATACAGTTCAGTACACGGAATAAGAATATAGCTTTGAAGCACTCTTCACATCTACATGAGGATATTCCTGAGGTAAAATGACATTCCTGAGGTATACAATAATATCATTCATTCAATACATAGTCAATGTGATTTATCTTTAATATTATTCTAGAAAGGCATTTCTTTCCCTCTGAAAAGTATTTTGTCATAGTAAACAAGAGACACTAATGGCTGTTTCCATGGTATCTTATTGACCATTTGCTAACCCCTCCCCTTTTTCAGAGGTTGTCCAAAGGTTGCTTAGTAACTACATGTACTGCAAGGACAGCTCTCACTTTCAAGCTCTTTGCTGTTAAACACCAATAGATGGAAAGCAAAGTGTGAGGAATGGGTTAAACAGAATGTGAGTTTATCGGCTCTGATGTCACTCACACTGGTTAACATCTTCGTTAGCAACTTTGCTTACAAGGTCATTCATCTTGGATTTTTTTACAAAACACAATATTTCTGCTGGGGAGGCTGTGATGAAAAACAACTAGTTCGATGTATTGTGAGATTTTTTCCAGCAAGTAATTTTTGCGATTTGCAACATCTGTTAATTACCAACATGTCCTCATTATGTTTTTTTTTAGAAATCAATATTCTTTCTGCACTGTTTCCCAAGTACTGCTGTTGTAAATCTGTGTAAACAGAGTTTGTAAGAGACAGAACTGCACAGGGAGAATATCACTGAACACCTTTGGAGTTTATGGGTCAATAAAAAAAAAAAACCTTTTTAGTACTTCCATCCTGTGAGCTAATATTTCTCTATTTTTATGATTGGCAGCTGGTCAGAGTAGTGTTCAGGGTTCATGCTAACATTAGTCTTGAAACTAATCATTGATGCTCAATGTTATAAATGAATGTTTGAAGAATTAAAGATTTAAGAAAAGAAGCTAATGTTTGTTCTGAGCGGATGCTTCAGAATAGCCGAGGTGTCGCCAAACAGCAGTTTGTTTTGGTTTTCATGTTGGTGCTCAAGAGCGATACAAAAAAGTCGCACATTCTTCTTTTAAAAAGAGGAAGTAAATGGGGCAGGCCTTAGCAAATGGTCAATTCCGATAAAATGGTCTACATACTTGAATAATACAACAAAGCTGTCACAAATGAAAGATTTAAATAATATACGCCATCCACACTGATTATTTTTTTATTGCAAAATGGTTCTCAGAGCTCTCATTGTGTGTTTAAATGGCACAGAGAGAAAATGCATTCTCTTGAACTGCACAGTTCTCAGAGTGCTTTATTCTGTGACATTCACACTCAGACTGTATCAGAATGTCTGATTACAATAAAAGGGTCTGTTTCAATTATATCAAGGCAAAAAGTGATCCATAAAAAAAAAAGACGAGGCATACAAAATATAAAACGTTAATCTCCTGATTTCCGATGATTTGTAACTCTGGAAAGATGTGACATCACTTAAATTAGTAATTGGTGATAAACTGATAAACTCTGTATTGTAAATGTTTGGTGTTTTTTCACATTTTATAGTTATTTTCTCTCAGTTACAGTGATTCAGGTGCTCAAGATAAAAAAAAAAACATTAAATGGAACCAATTTCAGCATCCTGTCTTAATGCAGAGTTATAACTTCTCTTTCATCTTTAATATCAACACACTTTGACTGATCTAACCTCCTACTTCCCAACTTACCAGCAGTATGAAGCCATATATGTGACCTGATTCCCCCTGTTTAAATAAATCAGTGCAAGCCTTCTTCTTTTACAGTTAAACAGTCAAACATATCATCATTATTACAAACAGTAAACAAAATTATGTACCATGTAAAACGCTTTTAAGTCCAGCAATCCGTCCTTTCCACCTCCCGAGACAAATGTTGTGAGCAGACTAACTCAAAGATTTTAGCTGTTCAATCTTTGTACATTAGTGTTGATTGTATTCTTCTTATAAAGTCGTTTTAATCTATGATTTAGTCCTAACGATGATTTTTCTCAGTGCATGACAATTCTGTCAGAGCAGCAAGATTTTTTTAAAGCTTTTTTTCACATGCACATTGATTTATATCGTTTAAACTCTTTAACAAAAACAGTTATATTTGTATCATGTGGAGTGATCCTCTCATTGTTTCTGACATGTAAACATTCAGAAGAAAAAAATGATTCAAAGAGCAAATTGAAAATATTCCAACTGGTTATATACGTTTTTAGGATTTGATTCCCATAAATAACGCCAGAAGATGGGAGGTTTTGCAATGCATGGACTGTTTTTATAATCAAAAGTATAAAAAGGTGTGTGAGTGAGAGTGTAGGCACAAAATGGTGATTAAAAGAAAAACTTCAACTCTGTGTGGTTGTTTTTTTTCTCCCTCCTGTCAAATCATCCCCATACAGACATGTTTAAAGTTGATTGCTTAATTGCTGTTAAGCTGTTCCCATGCAAGTTAAACCTTCTCTTCATGGACGGTCTTCACAGTCTTCAATGGCAGCTCGTCTGAAACGTCCACTGGGTTGTCATAGGCCGCAGATTCGTTCTCATCGTGCTGGTGCCTTGCAAAATTCACAAAGACCTAAAAAAGCAATGAGGAAAAGAAGGTACTTAAAGGAAAGATAAACACGCACACTATACTGTAGAGCCTGTGGACATTCCTCTTGCCATCGTGTTTATGCTCTCCTCCCCGCCCTCTGCCTCTAAAGCAAACAGAAATAGTGGCAGGGACCACGGGGTGCATGTGAATGAGTTGCCAGACAAGGGCTGTGAGGCATCAAGTAAGCGTCGAGGCTCACATAGTGAATGTCAGTTTGACATCTTTGACCAGCTGAGAGAGAGAATAAAACAATCACTCTTCTCTCTGTGATGCCCATTTAAAGTCAGAAGGAATCAATCCTATGGTGTTCATAAAAAGCTGTGTGTATTTCATTGTGCTGTAAACATGCTTGTAGTCCAGGCTTTTTTTATTTTTTTCACATTAGCCGTCTGCGGTGGTTAAGCTACACAAACATTTTTATACAGCGTGACAAAAAAATAAAAAAGGCAGCAAAGAGGATCTCATAAAATGATAAGAGCATTGCTATTTCATTAAAAGATTTTCAGTCGCTGTGTGAACATAAAAGGCTATATGAATTACTAGATTGTATTTAAAACTTCAATGGGGACGGAGAAAAAAAGTCAGACCAATTCTATCAAAAAGTACTCAGACTCCCCATGAATTAAATCCGTCCCCTCAGATACAAGCCTGCCAATAAATAAATGGGCGCAGAGAGTAAATACATGGGACAGATCATAAATGAGGAGACGCAAACAAAAGTGTCCTTTGGACGTTTGTTTTTAGAGAGGATTATAAAAAAGACGAGGTGAAAAAGATCCATCCTGTCCGCAGCTGTTTTCAGTCGGTTTATAAAATCAGTAGTCTTGTGTCTTCATGTTAACATCAATGAATGAAGTTTTCGGAACCAAAAAAAAACAAACATTTTATATTCTTATATAAAAGGGTAAAATATGTATAAAATCAAACCTTAAGAAATGTCATAGAAGGCCAATCATACTCTCATATCTGTGCATAAAGTGTGCATCTCGGCATTTCATTGTTCAGTACTTGTGCAATGACAATAAAGATGAAATTAATCCAATCTATACTCATCTTAAGTTTTGACACAATTAGCTTAGCTGGGCTCGCTCTGAAACCTCAAATGGTTGAGTTTACTTTTTTGAGTTTTTCTTTCTCTTAAATAAAACAACAAGAATCAAAATGTAAAAAGTGCTGGATGGCAGATCTTTAAACTTTAAAAAAAGAACCAGGGCTTATTGTTTTTATCATGACCTACAGTCTAAACGCAAAGCAAGGCTACTTACTTTAGCTTTAGCCTTACTTTAGCACCATGCTTAGCAGAATCAGGGCTAGATGTTTTTATCACATATTACTATCTTTATGCTTGTTTAGGCTGCCTCTCACATCAAGCCCAGGACTTATTCAACCCAAGACAATTCTTTTTCATATGTTTGTATCTGGTCTTTAGGTTAAGCTAGGCTAAATGTCTCCCCCCGTCTAGCTACCTTACAGTCTTTTTGCTAAGATAGGCTAACTGTCTCCCCCCCGTCTAGCTACCTTACAGTCTTTTTTGCTAAGCTAGGCTAAATGTCTCCCCCCGTCTAGCTACCTTGCAGTCTTTTTGCTAAGATAGGCTAACTGTCTCCCACTTTTGCTTCAACAGAATCAGAGCTATCTCTTTTTATCAATGCTTCAGGTTTTTTATGTTAAGCGTCTGTCTCTAGCTCCACTTTTTTCACATTGATACATCATTTATATCTCTGCTAGAGAGGGAATAAACATATTATTATGAATGTTATTTCAGTTTTAAACAGCATGTTATTTAATCTGAACTTTAATGCCGTTCGAAAATACATCTTCAGTTTGACCTCTGTTAGGGACTGATCACCAGGTATGCTAATCGCTTGAATCTAGTGGTTCCAGTTCCCTTAGAAAATTATAGTTATTACAGCAGATTTTTCTTTATTTTTTTCTCTGTTCGGTTGATGCTTCAGCCCCACTGAGAAGCACCCCAGTGCGAACACAGCCTCATTGTATTAGTTAGATGAAATAGGCAAATCCACTTCAGCAATCAGGAGTTAAATGCCTTGCTCAAGGGGAGTCTGTATGTAGAATTGAGGGGGGGTTCAGCTCTTTCTGTATTCAAACCAGGTTTAAAGTAAGGAGTCAAGCTGTTTTTACTTGGGATTTCATGGTATCAAATGTTATGCTTCCAGTAAGTAATTGTAATTCTACAAAAGCGGATTATGGCCCTTTGTTCATTTCAAGGTAAAACAGGCTTTCCCACTTCATGAATTGCATTTTCAAGCATCATGAACATTTGCTATTCTCTCCACAAACCACTATATGTTCAAGAATCTTGTTATTGAAATTGGGTACCTTCCCACTGTATATGTAAAGCGTCCTGACCTCAATGTTCAGGGAGCTGGTGGCTATTGGGTGTAGAAAAAGCAGAACAGCAGTCTGCCTTGGAAGTGAGGACCAAGCGAGGCCTTCAGAACCCCTAAGGCTAAAGCGTCAGCGTGTGTGATGCCAGACCATCAGCAGTGTGTTTCAAGGTCACAGTTGTCAAGGCATCTTTTCAGAGCAGAATGAGTAACAGGATAAGAATGACAGTATCAACAAATACACCCTCTGCCCATCTTTCTCGGCCTCTGACCCTGCCAGGGGCTGATGTTGGCTTGATGTGCTGAGGCATGCACTGAATTGGATATTCATTGTCAAGGCTGTGCAGTTTTGCAAAAGAATTTCTAACGAGTCTTTTCATTTAACTTATGTAAGGACCCCAGAGTCATTTAAAAAAGAAGTCCTGGCTGAATTTGCGAGCGAGATGACCACGGCGATACCTCCCCTGCATGGTGATGTGACTTTCTTCATGATGCACTCTTTCTGTATTTAGCCAGCCATCCATTCATGACATGAACGTCATGCACCAGTGCTGTTGAGTGGCATTTTCTTAATAACAGATGGATACAGGCATTAATCACATTACAGAGGGTACGTTTGGGTGTTTATTTGATGCCCGTTGAGGCAGAACAGAGGAGGGGAAAGAAATAAATGACCCAATTAACCTCCCGTGTATGTCAAAGGAGTGAATGCTGGATGTAAAACGGCTATTTTTATATACAACATGTCGACCACACGTTCATGGAGCTACAGCGACTTTGAAAGGTCCTGTCTTTCTTCAGTCTGTTAGTCAAGGACGGACAAAACAACTGGACTTATACCATATACTGAACGTAGAGTTGGAATTATGAGGCATGCGTACATTCCCTTAGCCTCAAAATATATGAGTACTAAGGAATGTAAGTTGTAATAATAAAAATGTGACACTTGTAGTTGTTTTCTGTTTGATTATTTGGTGGCTGTCCAACTCTGACATATTAACAAGTGCAAATACTTAGCATTGTGTCCAAGTAAAATAAAGACATGCAAGTCAATACTTCCAGCAAATATTAAAAATGAACTTGTTGGGTCTCCACAAGACACAACAATTTAAAAAAGACAAATTTTTGGCTCTTTGTTTATAGGGATGAACCAAAACAGAGAAGGTTTGACCCCTGACCAAGGTTTGACCCCTGACCCAAACAATCTGAAAGCTGTAGTACAGACAGTAGAGCTACAGGGAATTTCAAGTTTGGTGTGTAGAACGCTGTCGAAATGCAATATTATCATCTGACCCTTTGCTGGTATAAAAGTATTACACACTGCAGCTTTGAACATTAATTCAGAGTAAATTACTAAATAATTCACAATCTATCTTTTCAATTTAAAAAGGGATCATTACTGCATATGGCAGATGATAAGCATTAGAAATGTATACCAGCACGAAAAACTGACTTTCAGACACAATTACACATACTTATTGATGAATACTTATTAAAAGCTTTAACCTTCCCTCTTGACTAAAGCATGTTTTACAAGATGTAGTTATGTGATCAAAGTATTTTGATTAATCTTAAATTGTCTTTACAACAGTCAGTGTGTGTGAACATGCTAGCTTCAGATAAAGAAGGATAGCATGATAGTTCCTGACATACAGCATTATTATTTGTTTATTATTTGATATGGTGGTAAGCTGGAGTAAAATAATAATAATGGTTTGTGTTGTTCCTTTTATGGCTTTACTTGAGAGGTTAGATAACATGACATCATTTTTCTCATAGGAAATGAAACTAAAATAAAACGGTTAAATAATTAAAATAATTGGTTATTTGCTTTTGGTAGTGCGGGCTAAATGTTTGAACACAAAGAAGAGAAGCCTTGACCTCACCCTCTGCTTCTAAAAGACCGTTCACAACGTCACATTTTCCTTTCCAATGCTCCATCTGCTCTGCACTGTCTCGGCCATCAGCATTAACGGCCAGGCTCAAGGCTGCGTGGATCAATATTAATTGTAGTGCAAGTCTGGTGTTATACTATAGGTCAGGGCTCTTCTCTATAAATCACTGGCTGAAAGGTGACAGTCTGGGTCTCCACAGGTTCTCCACTCCTCTGCTCTGTGCTTTAATGCCGTGACCTCCTACACCTGGTATGATTTATTTACTGCCTCTGATCTTGTAAATATTGACCAGAGCACAATGTAGGGCCAGTTGATGAAAAAAGTTAAAAGAGAAATTACATAATTTAGAAAGGAATAGCATTTCTCTGTTCTTTAGGGGGAAATCAGGATTCTGCTGAAAATCCTTGAGACAAAACCAAATCTGACAGTAACCACATGTAGTTAAAGCATTTAGCTCCTCATGAATTCCTATCCTGTCATAGTTGTAGGATAATTGCCCCCTAAAGGGCATGTTTTATTTAAATAATGCTCCAAAAGATGGTTTCATCTTGAATTAGAGATTATCCACAAGGGGATCATGTTGATAATGAAATGCCTCACATCCCTGTAGTATTCTTTAAGACACATCATTTGATTTTAATAAAACAGTGGCACAGTAAAAGGGAATGCACAGAAAACTCACTCTCACATATGTCTTTCTGGATCCTTTTTTTTTTTTTTTTTAAGTCAAACAATAGGCTGTGTTTCACCCCACGGTGGAGTGGACCGATGACCTTTCTGGACCACTCAGAGGTCATTCTCATCTGCTGCTGAGCTAATGGCGGGCGTGTAAGACCAGACACACTCGCACTCTCCTCTGAGTGCCTGATTGCATCAGGTCCTGGGGGCTATTTGGAAAACACAAGGTGAAGCCAGACCATAACATACAGGGCTCAGTTTATCTCACCAATCAGGTGGCCAGCCAGTACCTTTGGGCTGGAATTATAAAAGGCACCAGATGGGGGGAGGGGGGGGGCTTTATATATATTTCTGTGTCAAAAGAAAATCTCTTTTCAGATTCTGGATTGATACCAGGACCTGGCAGCTGATCTATCTTGGCTACAGAAAGTGAGTGTAGTCCTCATTGGTCACTCTGACAGCCTTAATAGGAGAAGACAACGTGTAGGCAAAGAGAGATGTTTAAATCTTTTCCCAGACTGAGCAGACCTGCATTAAAGACGAGCACTTACAATGCTGAATTCATTGACTGATGACCCAACAATCTGTTAAAGGGAGCTGGCACTCCACTGAATTACAGTGGGACAATAGAACACAGCCCAGTTGGCCTTAATGTTGATAGTGTCAGAAGAAGGCATTTGGAGGCAGACTGTGCCGCCCTTGTTGCTGTAAAAGCGCAAAACCATGTAAAACTAACCTTCTTGTCTAAAAAAATAATAATTAGAAAGGTTTACCCGATGAATGAACTGTGCATGTTTGAGATGTTTGTATTTGTTCTTTTCTTTAAGACAAAAAATAAATGGATAATTTGTTTTGCACCCTGGGGTTTGTGCCATAATAAGAAGCACTTTTAGTATTTTAACAATCTGATAATATATATATATATATTTTTACTGTTTGTTCTTTTTTTACTATTTATCTGTCTAATTGAATTATTTTCACATAAATATTAAAGATGCATTAATGCAGAGAGAGAGAGACGACTTCAGGAAATTCACCTAATTTAAAACAAAATAATAATAATTTGTGTGTGTGCCATTTTCCTGTATTGGATCCTGTAGGGGAGCTATAGAGAGACGGTGAATGTTGGAATTGTTGTGAATGTCTGTGTAAAATAGGTCTGCAGAACTATAATGCCTAAAAAGGCAGAGGATGAAAAACAAGTGGGGAACAGAATGAAATGTTCCTATAATTACCCTGATACATCTAAGCCTTAAGGCTGCAGCAGCATTTTTATTTTTTTTAACAAAATAACCTGAAATGTATCTCATTCTATCCTCGATATTCACATGCCTCACATCTGTCATCTCTGTTGTCCTATTAATAGCAAACCTCCATTGAGGGTAATCATTTCAAAATTGTAGATTCTGCTAAAGAAAATTGAAGCCCTCTATCTGGACTGATGCACTCTCTATTGAGCCCAACGGTAATCTATTTATATGAGGTACTAAAGAAAAAAAAGAGGATTAGTATATTATTATGAGGGCTTTCCAGAAAAGGTTTTTGAAAATTGGAGATGCTTCTTTGAAGTAAAAGCAAAAAAACAAATTACATCAAATTCAGGCTTTACCGTGCAAGAATGAGAGCGTGAGCAATGTGAGCAAATAAACTGAAATGATAGAAACTTGAGAGAATAGTCAAAGACTGAGAAATAGTCCTAATATCTTTGGTCTTACCTGATCCAGAGTGGTCTGGGACACTGAGTAGTCCTCCAAACCCAGCCTCTCCTGGTTGTTGGTGAACTGGCTGAACATGTTGGCTAACGCTCCCTGTGCGTATGGGAGCTGATACTGCAGTGTGTTGTGATGCTTCTCTTTCAGGATGCTGCCCGGGAAGGTCTGCAGGACGAAATCCTCCACTGGCTTAAGCTCAGGAGGAGATCCTCCAACCCTAACAATGACTGTGTAGCCATCACCAAATCTGAAAAAGAAGAAGATTACGATTGAGATTTCAGTACAACGAAGTTCAATCATAGACGTCAACACAAAATTTCTCACAACTGGTCCTCTTAATCAGGGGTTCCCATACTTTAAGCCCTTTCAGCCCATTACCCCCCCCCCCCCCCCAAAAAAAAAATAAAAAATAAAAAAGTGGTGCCAGAGGCTGGGGACCCCCACTGTCACTTAAAGTGGTTAACGCATTTTACGTTACATGCAGCACGCACTAATAGGCCTATCCAAACACTAGCATTAGAATTACACTTAAGACCACAGCAGCTTGCAGTCTTGTGGACACTTACATTTGTTTTCTCATATAATTTCACAATAATAGATAAAAAAATGCTGTTTTTAGTTTCGGTGTATAACGACCCCCCAGGGGGTCCCAACCCTCACTTATGGAACCACTGCTCTAAATAATGAACCTTTCTATTCTCCGGTGGTGAGATGGATAAACAGCTGGAGGAAAGAGACAAAGCCAGGAGTAGAAGAGATGAAAAAGTAAAATTGGTCTCATATTTCCCACCATGTCGAGCTCCTGATATGTGAAAGTGCAGGTGAGTCACAGCAGCTGACTGAAAAAGCAGCTTGATATCAGGAGCGCAACAAAGTTTCTAGCAGATGGATAAACTTTCAACCCTTTCAAGTAATGGTAGGTTTCAACACAGTCTTCTGCATCAAATGCTAGAGAAAGCATCAATTTCATTCAAATAGAAAAGCCAGAGGAGACGAAATGGAAATTGCCTTTATATAATGGTGGATTAATTCTGAAGGAGCTCATTTTATGGTCGGGAACAACAAAAGGCCAGGACTCAAACACAGTCCATTTCCTTTTTTTTGATGTGTGATGTAAAAGATAATTTAGGCACTATAGCATCTGGTTAAATAAAAATGGATAATTACATGAGATTTGTTGGAACATTTTGTGGAAATTAAATGTACTTTAAGATGTGTAAGCTGGGTAAATGCATCAGTAAAATAAGATTGATCAGAAGTATCCTAAAAGACCACGTCCCCAAAAAAAACATCCTGTATGTTATTTGTTTTTGTTTTTTTGTTTGGAATTGAATTTCCAGGGCTTCTTGCCAGAGAGGGCTGCCAACATATGAAAACAACATGGATTTCCAATTTAATGCTGCACAAATAGATTTATTTTAAATTCTCCCATAAAATGAACATTAAAAAGGTAAAATCCATAAGTGTCAACCTAGATTTTGGCATTGGGAGGGTTGCACAATTGAACTATTATTTATCTCTACAGATATCAGCCTGCTATTAAAGCTAATAATCTGCTCTTCGACACTTTGGTTCAACACTAACCCCATCTCACTTCCAACTCTAAACAAAGGCAGGGTACAGAGAAGCTAATCTAATAAGAAGAATAATATCTTTAAATACCTTATCTTAAAGTCCTTTATTGCTAACCGCTCACTTGCTTTCAGAGGCTATCGCATCGTAAGACAATATCCAATTGGTTCTAAGATTGAGTTATGGTTCATTAGATTTGGGTTGAACTAGCTTTAGAGGCACATTTTCTTTGGTTGAGCCCCACTGCACTCATCAACTTTGTTTCAAGAAACAGGAAGCCGTTGCACAAATACCAATAAATGAAAAAAAGAATAACTATATAAAATACTTGCAGATGGACATAGTTGGCTACTAGCTGGTGAACAGATTGTATCAATTGGCAGCTAAATACCTAAATATATCCCTCAGAAGTTGAACAGAGCACACAACAGAGCTAAAGGAAGACTGAATATTGGATTTTCATTTGAGGATGTGGGGGGGGAGAACACTCAATGTTAATGTTTGAATGCTTAATATGCACTACAGGGGTAAATATACTCTTTCATTGCAGTGATAAGTTATTAAGATGTAATCAATGCTCTTCACTGGTAAAAACACTACATCGGTCATTTTTTTATGATGCTGTGCAAAACTTGTTTTAAGTAACATTTTACTAAACCACCTTTTTTTTAAATGTATTTGCAAAGTGCAATTTATGCCAAGTGTTGAATATTTGCTGGAATAACCAGGGTTTCAACATGTGCTACTGGTATAACTTGACAACATGAACAATATCCTGGATATGTTGTCACAGACTCAAATGAGCCACAGCTAAGCTCTAAAGCTAATTAGCATTCTGCATCTTTCCAATTGTATGCTACGTCTGGTGAGCACCAAATAAGAATGTGCCTTGTTATTCTGTCGTTAGCACTCTTATGACCCATTGTTTTCTGCCTAATTAATTCCCTAATGTTGGATTCACTGGTGGAACCGTCCATTGTGGGCTGGTACAGCGCTACATGCAACAAGAGTCAGAGGCTCCCTTAGTGACAATTAGAGATATGGTGAATAAACTGCATGCCTACACAATCCCAAAGGGAGCGAGAGAGGAAGTGAAGCGCTCTGTTGATGAAGTAAAGAAGCACTGTGAATGGACTCCATATGCAGCGTAGTCCTTTCAGTCGCAACATGAGTGCTCAAAGTTGAACAGCTGCAGTGTGTGAATAATATTACTTTGCATGAACTGACTGCTTATTAATACTGACTGTCATTAAGAATGCATTAGTGAATTTTAATGCTACATTTAGAACATGATTACATTTTTAAACTTGGATAAAAACAAGACAACAATGTGAAGGTTTCCAAAACTCCTCCAATTAAATGTTCTTACTTCATATATTACATGCATCTAAACCTACATATGAACAAATAAACCCCTACAAACATATGACCTGTTTCTCCCATCAAACAATCTAAAACTGAAAAAAAATGTCGTAAAATAATGTATCTCTTACCAAGATTAGTGTTTTCTCAGCACTGTGCTTAGGAAAACTAGTAAAGGGGATTGTTCAAACTAAAATCTCTGTTTAAATATGGATGCTTTGAATTTGGCAATGATGTTAGAGTCAAATTCAACATCTCAAAATGACATAAGAATGTTCCAAATGTGAAGCAATGAAACAGAATATTTCCTATTTGATGATGCAATACAGCGAGTTGCGTGCCATCCTTCTACGTTAAGCCTACTGTAAAGGGAGGATCTGAGGATTCTGCTTGCACTCTGATCTCCTCAGGGGGTGTACACTGCAGGCGATCAAAAGCATCCCCCATGAAACTCGGAGACATATTATGTAGTACACATCATGTTGATAGTGCAGCTACGAGTGCCCCTAAAGTATCAGCATGTTAGTGCTTAATTAAGCAACTGCCCTTTAACGGCCCTTCAACCGTTTCAAATTACACTCCACACTGACCTGCTCGGCTTCGCTGAGGAATGCTGTTTCTTTTTGCAGGGAGTTTATGGAGTACATAGGACTTCATTAGCTTATAGTGCAAAGGAAAAGCAGGGTTATAGTTATGATCAGAGGAACAAGGCACAACAATAACTTCATCAAATCAAAACACTCAGAACTCCTTAAAGTTCGTATAGACTCTTGCGCTTATTTTTGTACCATTTCCTTATTTTGACTATTAAATAAAGCACAAGATTACTATTATTAGTAACAGGGTTTCACAGTAGGTTAACAATTATGTACTGTAGAGAATAGTCCTGTGTGCTTTGGTGCCTACCAAAGGTCTCTGAGTTCAACTGCACTGCAGTAAAACACAATGGTGTTAACGCCTCTCGTTCATCAACAACACGCGTTTGTTGACAAGCAGAGGGGGCCAAGGTGACAAAGACCTTGTAAGGACACAAAAGAACCATGTCAAGTGACAACGTACAGTAATCGTGCAAAAAGGGCATGACTCCGCTACCATCTACAGCCCACTGTTTGCAAACGTATTGAGAGGTTTGAAAGGTTGAAAACGTCTAAATCTAACTTGAAGATCGACAAGGACAGAGACAACTTTTTGGCGGAAGACGGATTTATATATTCATGTGTATGCAAACCTGAGACATATGTTGGATTACATGACTTTGCACCACGTAAATCTGCTAATCATGAGCAAACCATGACACCAATAAGAATAAATGTTATGTCGCAATCTGGCGGGGGGGGGGTCATCTCTTGTAATAAGACTTGACATAAAAAGGACGCTGTGAAAGTTCCACTGTACTGCTAACAACATACCCAAGATGGCACACAAATCAACTGTGTCTGACTCTATGATGACCTTTTGGACTTAACATCAATGTTTCGTGTCATTTTACATACATGTTCTGAGTGCAAATACAAAAGTAGGATACTGGCATACGGAGAAAAGTACGAGGCAGCCTTTTTACGCAAACAATAATCCCATTGGTTGCACAGCAATTGCAGGACCTAAATCCCTTCAGCCTGCCTACTCACTCAAGTTGAATTTTTTGCTGCTGCATTCACACATCAACTCACCAGAAGGCTGGGAGGAAAAGTTAAGATGAAGTCAGTGGGAAAAGTTTACTGTTTTCATTCACAAATGCAGCTCAGCCTGATAGATCCAACGTTTGGGGAATGTTTCAGGAGTTTGGCATGTGTGAAAAGGCTCTTCACCAAAGGACATGCTTCATTACAGACATGCTACGAATGAGCTTTTGTTTACATTTTCCCATTAAATATGGAAACATACGTTATGCCTATGTACTCCCATCTCCCACTGATGATGCATATCGCGTTTGGTTTGCACGCGCAGCACTTGCATCCAATACATTTCTCCTGTCGCAGAAAGCCATGACGTTTTTGATGATTTTACAGGATGCACTCGACTCTGCAGTCTGTGATCAGACACCACCAGAACAATATCACAGCTTTCTCAAAGCATCGAGCTTAATTCATCATCCAATCAAGACTATGACCATAATCTCTTTGTGTTTATTATAGCTGCCGGCTCAGGAAATGCGCTTTATCCAAACACTGCCAAGCTGAGCCAAGATGCAAAAACATTTCTGCAGAAATCCAATAAGGCCAGGATGCATTGTGATGTAAGGGTTTGCCAAAATGGTTTGGGGCGAGTGTGGGTAATGAAATGCTGCTTGTCAGTGACAGTTAAAGGGCTTAT